TCCAAACATCTCAATGGTATTTCTCTAAATAGCCCTGACTGTTCTGGAACTCACTATGTAGACCAGGCAGGCTTTGAACTCACAGAGATCCTCCTGTCTCTGCCTCCCAAGTGCTGAGATTAAGGGTGTGTGCCACCATACCTGGCTCCTCTCTGTTCTTTGGATTCCTCCTTATCCTATGTTTCTCTGAGGACTTTTTAATTTAGTGCATGCATATGTGTGGGTGCACTTCGTGACATGTGGGGGGCATGTAGGAGGTCAGAGGTCAATTTGTAGGAGTCAATTCTCTCCTTCCGCTGTGTGGGTCTCAGGTACTGAACTCTGGTCATCAAACTTGACAGCAAGCACTTCTATCCACTGAGACACCTCACTGCCCTGTAGCACTTCTGAAACAGAGACCGTGTCTCACAGACCTTTCAACTGTAACCCCTGATCCCAGGCTGGAGCCTATGTGTGTGGGGAGAAGGTAGGCACAGGAGGCTTATATTTCTATAGCTGACTCTGTCTCCTGGGAAGGACGTCCTGGGTGGTGGCCATCAGAGATATTTCTGAAAAAAATTCTGACCTCTCTCCGGCTTAGGCAAGATAAGAAGTCAGATTTAGGGGCTGGAAGGCTGGCTTTATTCTGTACAAGACTACAGTCCGGCAAAGTCCCAGCAGAACTGGCTTCCGTTAGGAGAATGCACTAGGCGGGATTATAAATGGCTACTATTCTCCTCCCTCTGTTGAAGGCACAAGACTGTGTTTGTTTGGTTGAGACAGGCTCTTTTTTGTAGCCCAGATGCCTTGAACTTGTAATCCAGCCTCAGGCTCCCAAGCCCTGGATGTATAGGCCTTTTGCCACCATGCCAGGCCACAAGGTAAACATTTTTATGGCTCTTCACCACGAAAAACAGTGACCTTCCTGGACATCAAAGTGTGGGGAATTTACCCATGACTGTGACTTTGGAGCACCCCACCTTCAATTCCAGTGAACGTCAGAATGGCGTGTGCTTCCAATGATCCACAGCCTCTGCCCCGGCTAAGCTGGCCTTGGCATGTTTTCGCTGGCCCATGGTCTCCACCCTAGGTTTCTGTTTCTGTATCCCAGGACTGCAGTAACAGAATGCTGCAAACCAAGCAACTGGAAGCAGAAATGCGTGCACTTGAAACGCTGAAGCTGGAAGTCCACAGAAGCAGCTGTGCATGGGACCTCGCTGCTTCTGAGACATGGGGAGAGATTCCTTCACCTTCTCCCAGCTTCTGGTGGGATTGTGTACCTTTGCTGACCTGGCTAACAGTTGTCACCTCCTGGGTTATGCCTCCATTGTCACACAGAAAGCGCCCCCCCCCCCAGGCTCTGTTCTGTGTCTCTTCTTTTCCCACGAGGACACCTTTCACCCGGGATAGAGGACCCAACTCTGCTTCAGTGTGACCTCATCTTAAATAATTTAAATAACTCTATATTGAGTGCTGTTATTTCCCACGAGGGCCTGTGCCGGGGTGCTGGGAACTAGTTCCTCTAGCCTTGGGTTGGGGTGCTAGCTCTGCAGCACTCCTTACCCACCTGTCTGTACAGATTTCAGGGCCATGGCTTGACCTCTCACCTACATCCTCAGTCCTTAGGAAACTGGAGGAAAACGCAACATTGTTTGGTTTGTGCACTGTAGAATGCAGGCAATGACCTCTGGGCTCTTAATTCATGGAAGCAATTGCAGGGCACAGCGTGATTTAGCTCTTTACTTCATAAACTCTGAGTCCCCGGTGGAGCCAGCATGGAAGTCCCCTATGTGGCACTGACCCCCACACACTTGACACCTGCTGTCTACCTTTGACACCTGGTCTCCCCGCCCCCGCCCCCCAAAACTGAGGGCCAAACCCAGGGCAAGCGCTCTGCCACTGAGCTAAATCCCCAGCCCCAACACCTGGTCTTTTACCAAGCACATTTGGGGCTGGCTGGAATCGGTCCAGATACTCCGTGTACATGTACAGCAGCGGTGACTGCTGAGGTCTTACACACTCTGGCATTTACCCAGTGTAAGCCAAGCCCACGGTGGCACGGTGGGATGATCAAGAAAAGGAAATGAGAGCTGAGTTATGTCAGTTCCATCATTTCACGTGACTCATTATTAGGCGATTGGTATTTAAAAATTAAAAATGGTGAAACTGTTCCGCCAAGTACAGGATGTAAGGTCTTTGTTAAATGCAAATTTTAGGTCATTTACAGACCTTATTATCAAACTTGCAAACTGTTTTTCATATTGATATTTGTTATTTTATGCTGCTTTAAAAGGGGGTCCAGAAAGGTTGCTCAGTGGCTAAGAGCACTTGCTGCTCTTGCACTAGGCCTGGTTCAATTCCCAGCACTCACACTGAATAGCCCACAGTTGTCCAAATTCCAGCTCTTACGCCCCCTCCTGGACTCCATAGACACCTGCACTCACATGCACATATGTCCACATAGATACACACACACACACACACACACACACACACACACACACACACACACATTTTAAACATAATATGTCTTGCCGGGCAGTGGTAGCACACTCCTTCAATCCTAACACTTGGGAGGAAGAGGCAGGCAGTTCCCTGAGTTTGAAGGCCAGCCTGGTCTACAGAGCAAGTTCCAGGACAGCCAGGACTACACAAAGAAACCCTGTTTCAAAAAAAAAAAAAAAACAAAAAAGCAAAACAATCAAACAAAAAGTGTTTTAAAAATTGTTTCAAAGGTAAAGAAAAATCATGAAAAATCAATATTACAGAAAAAAATTACCTCCTTATATAGTCAAACTGTGCTTATTAAATCACTGATAGGAATCTTGTCTAACTTGATACAGTTAGACAGAGAAAAAGCAAGTCTGAAAGCTGAAAGGCAGAGAAGGAGGAGGCAGCAGGTGACTGACAGGTGTCACCAAAAGCAGGATTTCTTAACCGTCACCTGCTTGTGATTCTTCTGCCCATGAGGTTTTTACATGGCCCCAGGAATGTGAATACACAAAAGATGTGCAAATCAAACACAGCCTGGTAACAAATGGCAAACACATTTCTTTTGAAACGACTCCTCTCCTTGGTGCACATGTAACCTCACCATTTACTGAAGATTAAAGCAGATAAACACACTAATGAGATGGCAAACTTGTCCGCTTTTAAACAATTAAATCTTGGCTGACTATGTGAGGGTGCAGGGCGCAGAGCAATTTTCAGAGTTGATTTTGATTTTATAATCACTAGTGTTGAGACTGCCACTTTGCATGAACACATACAGCAACTTGGCAGACAGACGTGTGTTTAGAGCCGCCTCAGACCTGGATGAAAACTGTCATAATCTCCAGCCAAATTTCATGTAATGAATTTTCATAAACTCGAATCATCCGCGCGAATAGCCACTTTAAAAGACAAACACTTAAGGCTGGAGAGATGATTCGGAGGTTAAGGGCACCGACTACTCTAGCAGAGAGCCCTGGTTCAGCTTCCAGCACCCACTTAGTGGCTCACAACCAACTGCAACTTCAGTTTCAGGGGATCTGATGCCATTCTCCCAGGGGATCTGATGATGCCATTGTCCCATGGAATCTGATGATGTCATTCTCCCAGGGGATCTGATGATGCCATTCTCCTGGGGAATCTGATGATGTCATTGTCCCATGGGATCTGATGATGCCATTCTCCCGGGGAATCTGATGATGTCATT